TTCAACATCTATGCACGATTACTAAACTAGTAACCGTGATCTATGAAAACCAGAAAATTTTTAGTAGTCCGAATTTTTGCATGGTCGAAAATAAAACGGAAATTGACCGGTCAAAAGCGGAAGCGGTCAAGAGGTTTGGGGGAAATGAGTACAGTACTTCTTTGTTTGATGAAGCGATGCTGATGCCACATTGTCGCCATAATGAGGCCACAATGAAGCGAAGCGATAATCGCCTAACTTTTTAATGTCGCGACATTGAAGCGATGCTGAAGCCATAACAATGCCATAATGATGCGATGCTGAAGCGAAGGTGAAGCTGAAGTGAAGCCAAAGCTTCCGCGAGAACTGTACTGTATCCTCGTAATAACCTTATTAACTAGTCTAGCAAGTATTTTATTGGCGCCTTTAAATGCTGCCTGCTGGTTAATTTCACAAATAGCGTTATCTTTGAATGATCGACTTGAAAACAATGGCAATTTCAATCAACCAATAAGATTTACAGTTCGTAGTCAACTGTGATTTATTGATTTTATTAAAAGATGGAGACCTTGGAAAATGCGTACAACAGTTTTCTCTCCAACATGACTGATTTTGTAGGGATCCTGGGTCAAAATGGTCGCCCAAAGCAAGTCAAATCAGCTTATTGTCATTTGTAGGGATCCTGGGTCAAAATGGTAGCCCAAAGCAAGTCGAATCAGCTTATTGTCATTTGTAGGGATCCTGGGTCAAAATGGTAGCCCAAAGCAAGTCGAATCAGCTTATTGTCATTTGTAGGGATCCTGGGTCAAAATGGTAGCCCAAAGCAAGTCGAATCAGCTTATTGTCATTTGTAGGGATCCTGGGTCAAAATGGTCGCCCAAAGCAAGTCAAATCAGCTTATTGTCATTTGTAGGGATCCTGGGTCAAAATGGTAGCCCAAAGCAAGTCGAATCAGCTTATTGTCATTTGTAGGGATCCTGGGTCAAAATGGTAGCCCAAAGCAAGTCAAATCAGCTTATTGTCATTTGTAGGGATCCTGGGTCAAAATGGTAGCCCAAAGCAAGTCAAATCAGCTTATTGTCATTTGTAGGGATCCTGGGTCAAAATGGTAGCCCAAAGCAAGTCGAATCAGCTTATTGTCATTTGTAGGGATCCTGGGTCAAAATGGTAGCCCAAAGCAAGTCAAATCAGCTTATTGTCATTTGTAGAGGTCTGTCTTCAAGAAAAAATAAACTTGTGGCTGACGACTTTTTGTTTTCACACTTATTTTGTTTTTCAATTTCCAAATTCTAGATATTGTATATATTAAGTTTCCAAGATTACTATATCAATGTATGATTTTCTGTTGCTTCAATGACATACCAGTGACATAATACATCTAGTTGCGTCAAAGCAAATCTTTGAGAATCAGGGACGCGTCTTATTGGCTTAGAGGGTACACTAGCATACAAGTAGATTTCATGGTAGCCTGATGAGGTCAAATGCGTTGCGCCCTCTGCGGTGCTCCAAACCCAACACACGCCTGACGGTACAATGTAGTTTTTCACTTCCCCAACGATTTGTTTTCGGTACCAATCAAATTGCAGGAACGTCAGATAGCGACAGCCATCATTCACGGCAGAGTTTATTTGTTGACATAATTTGCAATAAGGTGCTGGGAAATTTCCACATAATATTACCACGATGTTACCATGACCACCAAAGTGAATATTCATTGAACTCATTGTAAGAAGGCGTGAACTTTCAAATTCACAGTATTGAAACACTATTCTGTCAGGTGTTACTGAGGTCTGATGCAGTTCGGCCGGCCAAGGCCTACTCACGCCTACATGTCAGGTTAATTTCATGGTAGCAAAAAACAAAAAACTAGCAACAAATTAAACTTGGATAAAATGTGGTAACTCACCTCTGTCTAATGGCATCTAATTTCTCTGGATCATCTACAATAACATGTACTCCTAGATGCATCTTGGCTTTCATCAAACCAAAATCCAAACACGCTATCTTTGCGTTTAAAATACGCTTCACCATAGCTGCACGGAGAAACAGAATGCAATATTTCAACCTATGTACTTTATGTCAGCTTACTGCATCAATCCATTCTATCAAGCCAGTAAAATGTACAATATTTCACACTTTATACTTGTAATCAAATGAACCATTATGACACTATCATCTTTTGGGGCCAAAGTGTCAATTTTCACAGAAATTATAAATAAATGTAGTATTTCCATGGTATCTATATTTTCACTGATAAAAATATAGCTTTTATATTATTTGGAGTTTTTGGAATAGTATGGTTCTAGCATGATTTTAACTGAAGTTGTGGCAACCAACTTGATTGAGCAGCACTCGCATTACAATTTGCACATAAAAATAGGTCAGGAGGGACAACAGTGGCATTCAATGTTCGGTACTTTTTGCCTGGCACACAAAGAAAGAAAAAGTAGTACCTTGAGATGCCACTGTACAGTTGAGAGCATATCCAGGTACCAGCACAGACTCGTGTGCACTACGACCATGTGCCTTTAAGACGTTGACAGCTTTAATTGGGTACCTAGCTTTACCCTGCAGATCAGTCGTCTTCACAGCCATGGCTGCATCAACCACCATGTTTGCAAAGAAGTCAGCATCTCTGTATAACTCCCGTTAAGGCACGAAACTGACAATGTATACCTGATTTCTAAATGTGTGTAAACTCTGCCTACCCAGATAAAAATATGATCAATGGTCAGTTAATTATTAACAAATACACCCAATGTACGTTACACAATGTTTTTGGTAGAAATGATCAGTCTGATCACAGCCACTACTTTAAAGAAGCAATGAGGATGGAACTTGTAATTTGTGACACTATCAGGGTTCCCCAATGGCATTATAGAGTAGGGTTGCCAACTGTTTATTTTGGGTTAACATTAGTCAACAATAAATAACAATAGTGGTAATTAACAAATAATACTGATATGCAAATAAACGCTCTTCTATTTCTCTGCGAAGAAAACTGACTACTGTAAATTACTTTATTTTAGCTGGAATAAATTTTAGTTGAAAAGACTTTTTCAGTGTTTTGTATGGAATTTATTTTCACTGATTTTTGACAAGTTAAATGTAAAATATAGAAAAAAAGGTATATTCACTGGATTTTATTTTCACTGAATCAATCCTTCAGTGAAAATAGCAAAAATTAATTCAAAGCGAAAATAAAGTATTTTACAGTACAACACGAATTATGATTTATCATCACGAAAATCGTCATCTTTTCTTGTGGCACACAGACAAGCATTCGTTCAATGATTTTTCTAATAAACATGTGCACTGGTTGTTTTGGTATGTACAATGCCATGAATGAAATACTATAAAATGTGCTGAAAAATCAACATTTTTAGTTTTCACAAAATCATAGTCCAGTACATTCTGCAGTATGCCATATCAATATTGAAAAAAAAAAAATGTTCATCCATTATGAATCTTTAAATCAACTAGTTTTAAACTGAAAATGAACATTTCATGGTAATTTTACACTATCCTTGTTTAAAGTTGTTCTTTATTATCAGACTGCCAGAAACAATATGTTTAACATACCACATTATTAATTATTCGCAACTATATCAGGGTTCTCCATGAGGGGTTTTTACAGGGCGCCGCGCCCTGTTATCTGAAATTAGCGCCCTGTTTAAATTGTCAGCGCCCTGTTATATTTCCTGTGCGCCCTGCATGGTCCCAGACAAAGAATTGTTTACAAAACAGGCCAACACTCATTGTCTTCCGAAGATGATTCATCGTGCTCAGGGTAACTGGTTCATTGTTTTAAGGTGCAACTGTGAAAATTCCGGTTTGTTATCGTAGCAGGTCACCGTGAGGTGATAACACCACCAAACAAAAAGTTACAATTTTTTTCAACACGATTAAAACTGAACATGTGGCCTAGAAAAGTACAATACCGTACCCATATTTTTACTGCCAGGGTGACGTCAAATATATAAAATCGTTATCGGTAA